GAAAAAAAGAAAGAATTTTTTTAAGTTTTATTTTTCATATTATTATTATTTTTATATTATTATTTTTTTACCACTTGTATAATATTTTACCACGTCATCTCATAACAGTAAATTAACAGCACAGCTAATGAGATTTTTAACGGAAAGACTAAATTGGGGTTAAAATGGTAAACAGTAAGGGCCAAATCAAAGATTTTTTAGGTTTAGGAACCAAATCGAGAATCTGTACAATAGTTCAAGGACTAAAATGGGGTTTTAACCTAAAATCTATGACATTGGTGTTAAAAATAAAATTTACTCTTATAATTTTTTATATAAATTAATGGTGCAATAAACAAAAACCTAATTAATGTTAGTTTAAATTAACTAAAGTAATTAAAACAAAATAACTTATGAGGTCTAAGTTCGTCGATTATAAAACTTTAACATTTGGGCCTGTCGGGCTCAAGAAGAGTTTGGCCCATTTCAATTTATTCTTCTTTTATGCTTTTTTCTTTTTTGAAAACTCAATAAGGAATCGGGCTGGGCCCAAACTTTAAATAAAATGAAATAAGACAAGAGGCCCACAAGAAGAGTCGGGTCAAACGGACCCGACTAATAGACCCGGATAAGAAACCGGGTCAAAACGGAGGAGGTGTGACCCGCTTTCACGTGGCGGGAGTCCGGTCAAATTCCGGCCGATTCTGGGCAACTTCCCAGGTTCCGGCGGTCTTAAAAATTTCAATTTTTAAGCCAGGACAGAGGAAACCGAACGTTGAGTTGGTCCTCCACAGGCATTTATGCACAGTTTAACCCCAAAAAAAAAAAAAAAATTCACAATCACAGCAACCACCATGCAAATCAACCAAAAAGTAATTGTATTCAAAACACATTCAACACCAATAAACCCAGACATTTCGATAAATCTACCAAATTACATGGGAATTTCTGAAAAAGAGAAGTAAATCCGTACCTAGAATGGTTGCCAGTTCTTCTTAGAGTCAATCAAACGCACCTAGTTTAGGAGCGGGAAACCAGAAACCAAACGCACACAATCCTCTGATCTGAAGTAATGCAGATACACGTTCTGCAGCACCACAATCAGTAAGTAATTAAGAGAAAGCAATGAAAACAAGAAATCAGAGAAAGAAGAATGAGGAAGGCGGATTTGAAGAGAAGTTTTCGCAGTAACTAATTAAGAGAAAGCAATGAAAACAAGAAATCAGAAAAACAAGAATGAGGAAGGCGGAAAGAATGGTTAAAATTTACCCTAGGCAGGAAGGAAATCACGTAGAACAAAATACGGACACTTGAGTAAATTAAGCTAACTTTAAAATAAAAAATCTTATAGATATTGCTCTGTTCTCACAGCAACAGCGGAGGGAAAGCACCTTTTAATCATGGCAAAAACCCATCCTAAGCCCCTCAACTTTTTCAACAGTATTGAACCAGACCCTGAACTAAAAAAAGTGGCAAATAAGCCCTCTAACCCCACGATGGGTGCAAATCAAATCAGCCCTTCCGCTAACTGACTTCCTGACGCCGTTTGTCATCGGCTTCCGTGGCACTGCACCTG